GCCAGTTAGTGAAACCCTCATGATGCTTACTGGTCAGTACAACATACCTATAATGATAGGACAAATAACTAAGACATTTAAATGAAGCATTACTTTGCTCCTGATTGCTGGAAGAGAGCTGCCCATTTTGCAGGATCATAGAACTCAGCCTTGAACATTGGAGCAAAGTCAGCATATGAGAAACCAGGTGGATAGTTCTTTTCCATGAATTCAATGTATTTAGATGCCTTAGTTCCCTTCCATCTGTACCAGAACCACTCAGACCCAAAACTTGGCACAGAATACACTCCCCAATGCATGAATATACCAACCTTAGCTTCATCATACCAGTCTGGTAATGGTCGTTTATCCAGTGAATCCCATGTAGGCTGATACTGACAATCAGTAAAACCAAACACAAGGACTACCAGTACAAATATACTTGCAGAATACTTCATTTTTGCTGATACACATTATTTAATAGTGTGTAGGCCGTACATAAGGTGTTTGGGTGGGGCTCATCTCATGTATGTGTGACTGGTGTGTGTGAATTTGCTCGAAGAAATCAATGAACAACGAATATAGTTAATCAATAATGAATTAAATAATAATTTTATTTACTAGTCAATTTGTACACTACACTAAAAACAAGACACATTTATACACACATGCACACATGCACAAACAGATGAGAGAAATTTAAAAGATTTGATTAATAATGATCAACTTCCTTGAGTTAATATATCAATCGTGTCCTCCCAGCTACCTCCTGCTTCATTATAAGCCTCGTGTATTTTGCCTTCTGGCCATACCTCCTTGTATTGATCTACTTTCTGTAAGTAATCCAGTGACTGTGGAAAGAAAAAGAATTAGTTTATCAAATTTTGCAAAAAATTGCTAGAATCCACCTGCAAAAGACCCTGAACTAATGCAATGTTGATGGTTCAAAATTGAAAGCCTAACTATTTTGAAATGAGCTCAAACTTTTTACAAAACATAAAACCAATAATACGCATTATATGCATCAGAAAATGCAACAAATTTGCTTCTAGCCATTTATGACTTAAGATGAAATACATTTACATGTACATACTGTATAGCAGGAAATTTTCGTTGAGTGCTAATTTTTGTTTGTTTCATTGGCCAAAATTTTGAATGAAATTTTTAAATAATGAAAATTTAATCAAACTACAATTTTTGACCCACGACAGATCCTCGTTTTACTACAGCCATGGCATAGCAATCTGTGGCATCATCAGGCTTGAAACAGAAAGGCAGTTCTTCTCCAACTGATGGGCTCCAAATACCTTTATAAATGTTGCATAACCACAAACCATAGACATTTTTCCATCTTAAACCATACACGTCGCACTAATTAAGTGGGTGTGACAGAGAAAATTTATGTTAGGCTAAACAAAAATAAAATTAACGAAAATACATGTAACTTGTAAAGCCTGCTTGAAAAGACAATGAAAGTTTCTGGCAACGAAAATTTCCTGCTATACAGCATAACCCATGGTCATTGACTAAATTTTGGAGCAACTTAAAATTCAATAACAATCCAATTTTGATCAAAATCACAAGAGGTTCTGCTAATCCTGCTATACAGAGGTTCTTTCATACACTACCCAATAGCCTTATGAAAGGGAGAACAGCAACTGTATTATTATAACTAATAGAGGTGGGCAATACAATACCAAAGTACTCATATATCCTATACCAGGCCTCTAATACCAAATCCTGGTATTGAGTAGTATAGTGACTACTGACTACGCCCTACCACAACTACTTTGACATCATAATAATGGCCACACCCTTTAACTATTTCAAAAAGGCGGCTCATTTCCCTTAATCTTTATCAATAAATAATTATAACTTATTTGCACATGCGCAGTAGCTGACTACTTATTGAGTATCAATACCATCGATACTGATATTCAGACTACTTGGTATCGGTATCAATTCAAAATTTCTGGTATCGCCCACCTCTAAATTAACTAAATAAATTAATGTTTGTTAACTAAAATATGTTGCAGGGCTTGTTGTAGCCCTTCCAAAAATTGTAAACAACCAAAAAATCTACTAAGCAAATTATCTGATAGTGATAGTGTCCTTTTATACTGATGATTTTGAAAAGGCTCTTGTGGGTTGGACAAGTGTGACAATAGTTCAAAGCAACTAGAAGGTGCTGTTATTGTAAAGTGGTCCAGCTATGTAAATACTTCAGTGGTGTCACTAATCAGAGGCTCAGAGAAGTGTGACTGCAAAACTTTTAATTTTTTTACAAAGATTCTTGGTATCGGGCAGACCTTATTTTAAGCCAGACTTTAGCACTAAATTCCAGCTACATACATGTAGTACAAACATTTAAATTTACCTTTTCCACATCTTCTTTGTGAGCTATTAAAGCAGTTTCTGCACTGTCCCCATTGTAGCCTTTATCAACAATCTCACCAACTAGAAACAAGAAATCAAATACCTGCACAGAAAGAGAAAAAAATTAATTACTCCTCCAAGAAAAAATGATCAATTATTATTTCTAATTAGTTTATCATTACTAATTACTTTTTGATTGTCATTCTCATATTTCTTCAAAGCCCTAGCCACTCTAGTAGGAGGAAACCCCATACTAGATATACTCTCCAAGCTTTCCTTCTCAGCAGGTGTTAAACTGCTCCTTATATCAGGAAGACTATACACTTTAGGAGGAGGAGGGGGAGAAGGATGATATGACGAATAACTACTGGGCTCAGAGCTATAAGGGGGCGGGGCTGGTTGCTGTGGCAACTGGCCGACAGGCGGTAGGACAGAAACACCGGCAAATGGACGATGGGATGGATTGGGGGATGGGACGATACGGGGGCTTGATCTGGCAGTGGGCTTAGGAGCAACAGGAGGAGGAAGGGGAGAGGGAGAGGAAGAGGGAGGAGGAGGATACTGTATTGATGATGGGATTTGCTATAAAAAGATAAAATGACAAATAATTAATCATTGCACAAAATTTTCCAGAACTGCAAATTTCTCAAATTTTGTAATTTTTTGAAGATTTGCGAAAATTACTTCTGTGAAAATCAAATTATTACAGTACAAGATGGCAGACGGCATGATTCGCAAAACTAAATCTGCAAAATAAATTTTTAGGAAATTCACGAAATTTACAGCTCTTAAAAATTTTTTGCTACAAGGTACATGTATATCACAACATCATAAGCTGTGTCTGTGTATATGCACTAAATACAATTAGAATAACAGACATAATTGTGTAATTATATTAACTACCATGAAGTTAATTTACCTCTTGTTGTCTGTCTTGTCCTCCTCCTACATCAAACATTATACCAAATTCATTCCTTCTCGGGCTGACGGCCTCATAAAGATTCTCTGCAGGACCAATAGCCTCATAAAGACCCTCCGATGAACCAGAAGGAGGAGGAGGAAGAGGACCAGAGAGAGGACGAGGAATAGGACTAGCTGTAGTTATATAAAGGTTATCAGTGGCACCAGACACAGGGGGCGGGGCAGGACCAGACACAGGGGGAGGGAGAGGACCAGATACAGGAGGTGGTAGAGGACTAGTAGTAGTTATATAACTAGACTGTGATGATGGAGACTGTGAAGTATAGCCAGGAGGCTGACCAGGAGGAGCTAGAGAAGTAGGAGCACCACTAGACCCTGTATTACTAGTAGGAGGGACAGTAGTGGTGCTAGTTTGAGGCTGTAATACACTTTGTAGCTCTGAGTATACATCAATAGCTTGTAGGGCCGTAACTTCAAACGGATCACTCTCACCCTCAAAATCCCTTAGACTCATTTCCCCCAGAGGCTTATCAATAGCAGTACTTGTGCTAACATTGGCTACTGGTGGATCCAATTGAGCAGTACTATCACTAGGAGCTGGTACTGGAGTTAGTATAGTTGAGTTCTGATAGGGTATTAGAGGGATGGTGCTGGTAGGAGGCATCTGGGGAGGACATATCGTCCCTCCTCTTAAGCTGGCATAAGGTGAAGTAGCTTCACCAGCAATCGCTTGACGACGTAAATTAGCTTGTTCAATGACTTGCCTTTCCTTAGTAAGATCAGCCTTGAGGAAGAGAAAGAAAAAAGGAAATCTTATATACATGTACATGAATGCTAAGTTTGAGATATGGAAAGTTTACTCTGATTCTGATTTACTAATCATGGCATAGTAGAAATAGTAATTTATAAAAATAGTATACTCTATACAACGGGTCTTTCCCAATAATTGGCTATGACATTAACCACTACTTTAATTACATTTTCAGATACACATTGATGCTTCTTGCTATGTGGGCTGATTCCAATCACAAATTCTAGACTAATATATTAATTACAGTTAAAATATATGACAATTGTACATGTAGTGCGTATATTTACATGTACACGTACATGTACACATGAGAAAATGCAACTGAAACCAGTGATTATTTGTAGGTGTACTGTAACTACATTTAGATATCCCGAATTCCTTATATATCTGAGATTGTAGTTCGGAATTTATTGTTAAATTACATGTGTATTTATGCCTAATTAAATATTCATATACATGTACATGTACACTTGCATTATGTCTACTCACAATATGTTGAGGTTCATTAAGTTGAGGCATTGACCAATCCCTGGGCAAGGAGACAGCCTCAGGTATAGGAATAGGAGTCCTGTAACTGACACGTATACCTTTAAGAGCATAAGAATTGATGTAGGCTGTGAGGAATAGAGAAGAGATGATAAAATTAGAAAAATGAGCGAGTAATTCTTAACAAAAGAAGTTGAAATGAAGCACAAAGCGAGACTAATGTTAGACCATTAGTATGAGGGCATCACAATGGACATAAACTCACTGGGGCCCGATTGCCTCGATATAGTTGGTCTTCTCACCAGAGGACTGGTATCCGCCATGATACTGCAAAGGGTGTGGTTATGACGTAATGAACACACCGTGAGATCACGTGATAAGCAATTCATCACGTGATGAAGCTCGTGACTTGCTGAGTCAGCAAATCTTTAATAATGGAGGGGCGCGAGGGTCTTCTCTCTCAATTTGTGGAAAAGACAAATGCTGATCCATCCTTTGCTCAGGACCTGCTAGAGGCCACTGGCTGGGATTTAGAGGCTGCAGTGAGTGCCTTTAATGGACTTAGCGTTACTTCTGAGCCGCAGAACTATCAATTTGAGGAACCTGGTGAGAGTAATACTGGATATGTATGAGCTATGAGCTGGATATTAGCACCTAGATAGCTTTGCTAGCAGCTATCAATCAATAGCAATTATGTATATTGATGGTTGTAATTGTAATTGACAATGCATGTACAAGTATGAAATAATTATTGTAATTCTTACTTTTGTTTTTATAAATGCATTATATATGTGATTTCAATTATTTAAAGTATGCTTGCTAACTAACACTAGACACGGGTTTATAGTCAGTTATGATAATGTCATTAGCAGGTGGCGCGAAATTAATGTTATTTTTGAAAGTGAGCATAATAAAGGTTGTTTTTTTGTTTTCAGCTTTACTTGAAACTAGATTACTGTAATAACTGATAACTATTAACCAAGTTAACATTATTTAATTAAATTATATTTAATAAATTATTATTATTAAAGATTTCACCTTGAGCGAATACGATGAGATTCAAATGGAAGAGGTCACTTCTGGCGGTGGCAATGCTTCATCTTCCGACTCCTCTAACTTAACCTCACCCGAGAAGAAACAAGTGAAGAAAAGATCAACAAAGAAGAAGAAACCTACCAAAGGACTGGCTAGTGTCGCTGATGATGTTGGGAGTATGTTCCTTAATGTTGCTGTGTCTGAAGCTAAGCTTAGGGTTGGAGCTGAACATAAAGAGGTACATGTACATGTATTATTACTATTGTATAATAGTGGAGGAGAGAAAAGAGAGAAGTGCATTTATCATAGTTCTGTCTATTGTGGTCAGGGGTGGTCGGGACAACCACCTCAATAAATGAATCAAGCACTTCATCACTTAGACCAACCATGCAATTAACATCATTAATCATAATGTGAACATAATATACTAGTCAACTAGTATGGTGTACATAAATTTAAAAGGAACACTATTAGTCTCTGACCACCTCTAATTTTTTAAATGCAGAACCTTGATTTATCACATTTAGTTTAAAGTTTAAGAGAGTATTACATGTATAGTACATTTAGGTAGTTTTGTGCAGCAAAAATAAGTAATTAAATGATTATTTATTATTTTATATTTACGGTTCTCTACTTTCCTCCTCCTTCCTTCTCTCTTCCTCCAGCAAGTCTTTAATGAGCAGTTCTTTAAGCATTCCTTCCTTCATCCTGACTTTTCAAGTGAACCGGAAGATCTCCAGAAATTTATTGATACTGACATAAGAGAGATGTCTCACAAACACACACTGGAAAAATCCGGTAAGAACATACCGTATAGAAGGAAATTTTGTATGTAGTTAAATTTGGTGAAATTGGCATTTTGATAGCCATTTGCCAAAATAAAATCTGCCATTTTGAGCCATTATACGCATGCTCAATGGCACATGGCCACAAATTCTCCAGATTAAAATTCTCTAATCACCAAAACTTAGCAATTCACCAAATTTAACTCCCTCCAAAATTTTCTGCTGCCGTACAAGATGATTTATTGGCGAGGAATTAATATTGACGATTGGCGGTTCTATGAAGAAATCGCCAATATAAAACCTGCCAATTTGTTTCAATCCGAGCATACTCAATGGCACGTGCCACAAAATTGCCAATATAAAATCTGCCAATTTCTTTCCACAGGCAAATCTGCCAAATATTACTCCCGCCAATAAATCATCTTGTGCAGTATTATGGTAAAGTATTTATGATGTTATTTTATAATGATGCAATAAGAATAATAATAGTTGTTTAAGCATCAACTTGTTATTATTATAATCTGTGATCTGTTCTGCATTACTCCCCATACTTTGTCCCAATAAACGCATGTTTATCATAAACAATGTGTCTTTTTTTTTTAGGTCGTCTCAATTGGTGGGCTAGTACAGGGAAGCTACCAACATTAGAGCCATTAGCAACCTCTGGTGATGGTAACTGCCTTCTGCACGCTGCCTCACTCTACATGTGGGGCCTACCAGATCAGGACCTCATTTTAAGGACTCATCTCCACCGAATGTTAACCGATAGCATTCAAAAGGAGGGGATCCATAGACGATGGAAGTATCTCACAGACTCGCGTAATCAAGAGGCCGGAGGTCTGACCTTCTCCGACGAAGAGTGGGACTTTGAGTGGCACGAGATACTGAGGATCTGTACCAATCAAACTAGGCGTCGCCCAACGACGGACTCACTGAGACGGTACAGTACCCTCCGCCCACACTACGAGAGTCTTGAAGAGGTTCATGTATTTGGTCTTTCGCATGTTCTAAGACGTCCAATCATAATAGTAGCTGATGAGTACCTCAGGGATATGAATGGGGAGCCTCTAGCTCCTATATACTTTGGTGGTATCTATCTCCCTCTGGAGTGGAGTCCTTCCTCTTGTTTCAAGTCCCCGCTGGTACTCGCTTACGATTCCTCTCATTTCTCGCCTCTCGTTGCTAAAAAGGATCTCGAAATTGCTCAGAAGCAAAAGAAGAACTCTCGTCTCCGTCACATGCAGTCGAAACAAGACACTGTGATGCCATTAGTCGATCCAAATGGGTCACTCCTCCCCATTCTCTTTGCCTATGATCCAAAGAAACCCTCAGACTACCCACAGAAATGGAGCAACACAAAATGCCCAGCTGGTGAGTTTCCGGATCGAATTGTAGCACTACTGGAAAGCTATATGGACATACGGTGGATCCAGCTACACATTGGAGCAAAGTTTGGTAGTCATAATGAGTACCCTGACAAGGACAGTGTTACGATCCCAGTCAAAGTACCCAAGGTACGATTCCCAGCCTCTGTTGTATCCACTATTGGGGAACCAGAGTATCAGGCTGTACTTGTTAGCAAGTATCTTGATGACGTTCGCAAGAGATTTGAAGAAGACAAAATAAAGCAAGAGAAGATTGCAGCTAACCGAGCGAGACAAGAAGAAGAGATGAGGAGGATAGAGGCCAGCAGACCAGTCCCTTGTGAAGGGAAGGGCTGCACGCTATACGGTACCCCAGCCACTGATAACTTATGCTCTCAGTGTTACTCTTTATCTAAAAAGAATGAAAGTCAAGGAGCCTATGAGAGAAGTGTGTCTGTCCCAGCTGGCCAGTCATCACAGTCCCTCTCTAAAGAGCCCACTCCTCCTCCACTCACTCATTCAACAAGACCCCCTGAACTCATTACCAGACAAAACTTGACCACTAATGATAACAACAGTCCTAAACAGTCTTCACCAGCTCAACGCCATCGCTCTCCTCCTTCTACCCCTCCTCCTCCTCCTCCTCCTCAAAGTGCTTCTTCACAGCCACAGCCAGTCAGTCCTACGGCTCAGTTATTTAAGCCAGTGCCCAGTTCACCTAAAACTGATCATCCTCCTCCTAATGTCCGACCCAATGTCTCTTACTCTAGTCCCACGAGGAAAGTCGAGAGTAAGAGTCCCAGCCACTCATCGCGTGGAGGGTATTCCAGGGATCATATTAAACCGATCACATTAGATGAGGGAGGAGGGAGTCCTTATGTTCCAGGGTCTGATAGGAGCAGGTGTAAGACGATTGGTTGCGAGTTTTTTGGTAGGCCAGAGACGAATGGATTTTGCTCGGGTTGTTATAATCCAGGGAAGGAGACATTAGTGTAATTAATAATGTGCACGTGTTTCTATTTATGCACTATTACACAAGTGTGCAATCTTATGTATGTATCATGTATAATTTCAATTAATTTGTTTATTTATCAGGATAGTTTGTTATTTCTCATTATTTTTAATTAATGCTACAGTCACACATGCTCTTATCTTCTTGCCATTATCATCTTCTAAGTTCTCACAGCTTATATACAATGTATGTCTTCCTATATTCCTTCTCTTCTATTTTCTTTCATCAGGGTATTTTTGTGATAGCGGAACAGTTTATTAATTTAAACTCGATTTTATATAACTTGATTTTTAATTTGCCATTATTTTTTATAAATTAAAAGTTATTTTTCTTCTTTAAAACAATACAAGAGAGAAAAGTAGATCTATAGATGCATGAATCAAATGACTGGACAGAACAAAAACAAAAATACAAACAATAACAACAACAATAATAATAATAATAATAATAATAATAATGATTGGAGCTGATACGATGAATTAATGAGTAACACAATTACTTTACACAAAACAATCATCAAAATAATAATAATAATGACGTAATATATTACACAATAATAATGATAATAATAAAGCTTACTGTCAATAAAGGTAATAGTGTTGATGTGTCACTGTCTTTTACAAATTATATTAAAAGTAAGAGGATCTGTAGTAGCTTTTCCATGATATGAACAAAAGAGAGAGAGAGAGGAACTGTAGTAGTAAATGTGAGTGTGGCTGAAGGGCTTGTGTTGTTGAGAGGATAAAAGTTGAGAATGACAGGCTGGGATGGATGGGGTGAGTTTGGTTTACTTTCTATGACTGCTACTGAACTGAAGTGGTAAGAGAGACTGATGAAGTGGTGGTACCGACGGCTGGAGTGATTTTGTCTGCTGCTGCTTCTTCTTTGACGCTGAACATTTGCTGTAGGATAGATTGGTACGAAGACATCAAGATATCTGCGGAGGACTTTGAATTGTCTTGTTGATTAACGGTCATTGCTTGACTGCTGTTAGTACTCTCCATAGGTTCTTCCTCTTCTTCTGTCTTTTCAGTTTTAATGGAGTCTATAGGAACAGGGAGTGGATTACTAGCCGGAGGAGCAGCTCCTATCACGCTCCCATTGATACCTAGTATATCAGCAACTGTGAGTTGTTTGTTAGCAGTACTGGCAGTGAGCTTTAAGAGGCTGGGATCTATAATCAAACCAGAGGGAGAGATCAGGATACCCTCAGGCAGAACAACAGGCTGTCCTTGCGTTAGATTCACTTGATTCGAGAGAGGAAGGATAGATTTGACAGCATTAGCAGTAATGCCAGTTCCATCAGACAGTCCTTTACTTACCCCTGGTTCCAGCTTTGTCTTTGTTCTCTGGTTGGCATGACGCTTCACATGTTTACTCAAATGGTCGCTCCTCATGAACCTCTTGTCGCAAACAGGGCAAGCGAATCTCTTCTCCCCGGTGTGGGTCCTGTAATGGCGTGCAAGCTCGTCCGAGCGTGCAAACCTTTTAGAACAGTTCTCCCAAGTACAGGGAAATGGTCGCTCCCCGGTGTGGGTACGTATGTGTGCTTTTAGGTGGGAGCTCTTCCCGTATGCCTTACCGCAGCCTTCCCAAGGACATATGTGGTTTTTCTTTTTTGGTTTGAGACCCTGAGGTTTAGGATGAGGAGCAGTCCAGACTGTGTGCTCTACTGTTTGTACTTCGGATGAAGTGACGTCTTCTTCGTTACCTTGCTGGGGGACTGTTTGATCTGGAGAGGAAGAGGCTGGAGGCTCTGGTGGGGTATTAGAGGCAGCATTAAGAAGAGCCTCTATATTCATATAGACCAGTTGCTGCTGCTGGGGAGAGAGACCACTAGCTGCAGTGCCCGCCATTTCTTCCTCTCCGTCTTGAACTCCATTCCTAGGAGTCTCTGTGACTATGCTAGGCTCTCCTTTCTTTTCTTCTCCTGGCGTGGAGAGCAGGGAGGATGGTGGTGTGGGTTCGGATGGTGTTGCACCTGACAGCTGCTCTTGCTCGGTAGAAGAAGAGGAGGAGGCGGTAGAGACTGTACGGGCAAGTGTCTCTTGGCTGAGGTTGGCCAGTACTTTTGCAACAAGAAACAAAGCCGTTGGGTTCTCCTCGCCAGTCCCTGTTCCCACTCCTCCGTCTGTAGAAAGGCCAAGAGAAGGGATACCTCCCTCCAAAATAGCTGTGGCGGTGTGGCTGCCCTTGGACGGAGAAAAAGGGGGAGTGGGCCCGTTAAGGATTGTCTCGGTCGCCATCCCTTTTCTCTTTGGAGCAAGACCCTGAACCTAAAACAACAATAGTAACAATGTTTACTACAAGCTTAGAGAGTCTTACAATGGCTGTTAAAACTGTTAGATAGCCTGTGGAGAAGAAAGAGACAGAGCCCTATGGAGCGGTATGCTATTCACACCTCCCGATATAATGAAAGGCGTGGTCTAGTGGTCGCTAGGAGTGGGCGGTGGCTGGAGGAGGTGTAGCTGGTTTCTTGCAAACTCTCTTTGTTGTGGTTAACAAAAGAATGCAAGACATGCAATAGCTCAATTAGCTTGGGAACACACCAACACTCCAAAAGTCCAGCAGGAGCCAGCCACTCCTCTGTCACTAATTGCAAAATATGCAATAACAAGGACTGCCTTTATAATGTTTGTTTATTATTTTAAAATAATTATTATTTTAGGATAGTATTTTAAATAAACTAATCAGTGGACATAAGGTAGGAGACTATCATCACAGACTATAAAGATGTCCAACTCCCTTTTCAGATTAAACTCTTTCCAAGTCGGTGTGAACTCAACTTTGGCAGCTGTACATCGCCACTTCCCTTCTAGAGAGATAATAATACTAATAACAATCAATATTTATAAAAATTGTTTATTACATGACACAACATGAATATAACAAACAATATTCTCTCTCCTGGAAGATGTCAACACAATGTACTTGAATACATAATGCTCATCACTAGCTACCTATTAATAAGGCATACCAAACCTTCCTTAAAAGGGCTTGTTACATTACATGCAGTGACATAATGTATAATAGCGCACCCTTACTAATGATGCACGGCCAATTCTGGCTTCTCCTTCATGTGAAGGAAAGGGAAGAGAGGGTGATTGATGATGCTTTGACCTCAATGGGAGCGAAGTGCTTGTAAATACTTTGTTAAAGTTTGTTTCTCTGTTAATGAGCTCCATTTTGTATTTCTGGATTTCTTGTTTCAAATACTCTATCTCGCTACTGCTGCCTTCTTTGCCCTGTAAATAATCAATTATAAATTAATGCGATGTGAAGCCGTGTGTTTAGTATGATACTATAGTGCAGTTGAATTAATTTCAAAAGACTGGTGACTATATGCCAGCTCTGGTTGCCAAAATACAGCTTGATTTTAGAAAACATATAGTACTAGTAATGAAGTATAGTAGGAAGGAAATACACCATAGCCACACACAATGGATACACAATATCACATAATAGTAACATACATCATATCAGATAATAGTAACACACAATAGTTACATAATATCAGATAATAGTAGTAACACATGTGTTCTGATAGTCTACTTAGTGCTTCCAAGTAATCAAGGTATTAGCTAATCTTTTACTTAAGTTACATATAACATAGTGACATTTGTCTCCTGGTGTATATAATGTTAGACTATGATATTATGCTGTTGTTATGGTGTGAGCTACTTGTTTAATTGGTGTTTGATTGATCTGACAACATTTCATAACAATTGTTGTTATCATATATCATTGTACCAAAACAGACTCACAAGGTGTGGTATAAGGAATGAGTAAGCAACAAATATCTATTGAGAGAATGTGTATAGGTGTACCGTATAGCTCCAAATTTTCATTGGTCAAAATTTCGTCAAATTTGTCAGTATTTTTGTTTGACAAAAATTTTAACTGACAAAATTTATATTTCACGTGGATAGTATAATAACAAAAATGATAGAAATTTTATTGACGAAAATAAATTTTAACAAGAAATTAAAATTATGACAAATTTTTGACTGATAAAATTAATTTTGGAGCTACACGTACATACAGAAGTTACATGCTTTTAAACAAAAATTGTTTTTCAAAAAAATAAAAGAAATTTGACCACGTGCACTGACCTGTCTATAATTGAGCATAAATCATACTTCATATTTACGATACATGTATACCATGTAGCAGGAAATTTTGGGGGGAGTTGAATTTGGCAAATTGCTAAAACTTTGGTGATTGGCAAATTTCAATTTGGAGAATTAGTGGTCATGTGCCATTGAGCATGCATATGGCTCAAAATGGCGGTTTTTATTTTGGCAAATGGCTATCAAAACGCCAAATTTTCCAAATTTAATTCCCTGCAAAATTTCCTGCTATACTGTACTTCATTCAGAGTAGAGTTGATTCATGTACATGTACATGTACATGTACCATTTTGTATACTACATGTACATGTACATGTACATGTACATTTTACATTGCATAATTCATTACCCATTATTGTGAGTACTATATACAAGTATTAATATAAACATACACTACAGTATAGCTCCAAATTTTTGTGTTAAAATTTTTTGTGATTTTTATGAAACTTTGGAAATTGTAATCATGAAAAACTACCAGTCGCCATTGTAATAACTGCATGTCAGTTTATTTACAAAATTTTATTCCTGAATTTCCAAAAATTTTATATAGATCTATATGGTATGGTAACATAGAGCACAAAATTTTTGAGGGCTGTAAATTTTACAAATTTTTGCAATTTTTTGAAGATTCACAAAAATTATTTTGCAAAAATCAAATTATTATGGTGTAAGATGGCAGGCGGTCACAAAATAGATTTTTAGGCAAATTTACAAAATTTCCAACCCTCAAAGATTTCGCGCTATACAGTATGCCCTCTTAATTCTACAGATACATGTACATGTATTATGTTTTTATTTCCTTACTTTGTATTGTGGTGTCTCTAACCAATATTCTCTCTCTTTTCTTTGTCTTGAATACAATCGGTCGGATGATTGAGATGCAGCCTTTGATTTGGTACTTTGAACATGCTTCAATTTGACTCGAAGTTCATGCACGTTAGTTCTTAGCTCTTCATTATCCATTTCATATGTGTTTAACAAGGACACACGAGTAGTAGCCTCTTCTTTCAAAGCCTTTATCTCGTCTGAGGTATTTGTCAGTTTCTCCTCTAATTTTATCTTGCTGCTTTTAAGTACAGTATTGTCTTTCTTTATTTCTTCAATTTTGTCTAAATGGTTTTTAGTCTCTTTTTGTAGTTCATTTATTTTTACTGAGTACTCACTACAGGAGGTGCATTCTTTTGAATTTGCAGCTGTGAGGCTTTCTTCTAGTCTTCTTTTCAAGTGATTTATCTCTTTGTCCATATTTGTCTCATTCAGTGTCATTTCTTCCATTACTGCCTTTAGCCTATCTTGCAATTCCTGTATTTCTCTCTCATTGTCAATTTTGCTATTCTTCAAGGACTCTAACTCCCTCTCCAGCCCCTCCACTCTTCCTTGTAGTCTCTCATTTTCTAACTTGAGGCTTGTAGCTACTACCTCGGCCTTCTTTTTCTCTGCACTTTTAAACTCTTCTTTGTCCTTCAGTGCCTGGTAGAGGATCCCTTGCTCATAAAACTCTCTGAAGAGCTTGTCTATGACCTTAATAAGGTCCGCAATCTTCTTGCACATTCTTTTATTGTGCATGGCAGCATCTTCCAAATGCAAATCTCCCTCCATTATGAGCTGATTGAGCTCAATTCTCCCACGCATTTTGATTAACCTAAAAACCACGCCCACACAAACTGACCGAGACACACCCACACAATGGCGTCTGAACATAGCTCAGCAAATCCTCTGCAGGAAGAAGAGAGTATGGAGATTGACGACTCCCTTTACAGGTAATAGGAAAGGCTTGTTATTGATACAGCTTTAATGTCTCTCTCAGTCGTCAGAGATACGTCCTGGGTGATACAGCAATGCACAAAATGGCTGCCTCTAAAGTCTTCATCAGTGGATTGGGAGGACTGGGAGTAGAAATAAGTACATGACTTATGCTTATTTATAATTTGAATCTATTTACTTTTAGCAAAGAATGTTATTCTAGCCGGTGTCAAGGTACTACTTTATTTATTTTATTTAATTTGTTTTTTTTGCAATAGTCTGTAACAGTTCATGATACTAAGGTTGCTAAAATGGCTGATCTTTCCTCTCAGTTTTTCCTGAGGCCAGACGATGTACAGAAATCAAGAAACAGGTAAAACATTTCCTTAATTTTTATTCTTGTTATTATTTTTGCTTAATACTTTTCAGAGCTGAAGCAAGTTGTGAAATGCTAAAAGACCTCAATCCTTATGTTGATGTTAATCACGTCTCATTTCCGCTTGATCTTAACACTGATCTATCATTTCTAGCTGAGTACCAGTGTGTTGTTTTCACCGATGATATCAGCTTTGAGTTATTGGTTAAGATTAATCAGTTCTGTCATACCCAGCCACAACCTATAAAAGTATGGAAGGAGAGAGAGAAAGAGCAGGGGAGGGGAGGGAGTGAGGGAAGGAGAGAGAGAGAGAGGTAGAATTTTCTTTATTTTTAGTTTATTGCTGGTTTGGTGAGAGGTGTGGCTTGCTTTGGTTTTTGTGATTTCGGTGACAATTTTATTGTTCTGGACAAGAATGGAGAGGAACCAGCAGACTTCTTTATATCTCACATAAGCCAGGTTAGAGAGAGAGGGACATTCAAACTACATGTATATAGTGTTGCAAGCTTTTTGTTGTTGCTAATGTTGTTGTGTTATTGTTGTTGTTGTTGTTTTTGTTTACAGTCTAATCCAGGAGTTGTATCATGCCTGCCCAATGAGAGACATGGCCTTGAAGATGATGATATTGTAGAGATAATTGAAGTGATGGGAATGGATGAATCAATCAATAATAATCAGTTTAAAATTAAAAGTAACAACAAAATAATTTTATTATTATTTACTGTATGATATTATTGTTTATAGTATTAAGTCCTAGTAAGTTTAGTATAAATGTTGACACTAGCTCCAGCACTCCTTATAAGAATGGAGGAAGAGTGAAGCAAGTCAAGACACCTTTTAATGTTAATTTTGTGAGTTGAATATTTTAAATCTAGTATTATTATTAAAGGCTGGTTTAGTATTTTTATGCATCAAAAAACATCAGAAGCCCTGCATAAATATAAATCATTGACATAGCATAAGAATGGAAAGTCTTCCTACTACTACATGTACATGTACATGTATGTACATGTACATGTATGTACATGTACATGTATGTACATGTACATGTACATGTATGTATGTTAAGTTAACAGCTCTATTGGTTAATAGACAAGACACTTTTGGTTGCAAATGTGTGCAGTGCAAATTGGGCTTAAGTCTTCTCTCCCCTCTAGATCTTTATTCTCTTTTCCCTTTCACTTTCTCTCGCCATCTTTTTTCTCTCTCTTCTCTTTCTAACTCACACACTCTCTCCCCCCCCCTCTCTCTCATGCTCTTTCCCAGAGGTCATTGTCAGAAGAGATGGCTGCTCCCACTTATCAAATTGTTGATTTTTCTAAAATGGATCAGCCTCCCCACCTCCACCTCTTTTTCCTTACACTGGACAAATACATGAGCAATACCAATGGAGCATTCCCTAGCATAAAGTTAGTAAAATAATTTTATTTCTGATTGACTAGATCAAATTTATTATTATCTCTTTGCAGTGGAAGTGATGATGAATACTTATTCAAATTAGCAGCTGAGATCAATCAGATGTATCATTTGGTAAGCTTTTATGGGAAGTAATACTAATATACTAGAATATACTAATAATATACTGGGATATACTGTATTATACAGTGTTATACTGTATCTATGTATTTAGGTTGATAATATTAATGAGAAGTTGTTTGGGCAGTTGTTTTGTGCTAGTTCTGGTCTGTTGCCTCCATTGGCCTCAGTGTTAGGAGGTATACTGGCACAAGAGACCCTCATTGCTGTGACTGGGAAATTCTCTCCTTTAAAACAATGGGTAAGAGAAAATGGAGTATAATAATAATAATAATAATAATAATAATAATAATAATAATAATAATAATAATAATAATAATAATAATAATGATAATAATAATTGTAATAATTGTGTGTTGTTATTTATTATAGCTGTTTATTGATGCTGTCGAAGTCATTCCTGATCAAAGGCCACTGATTGTATCAACTGAGTGAGTAGGAGAGACATTATAAGATTATATGATACTGCACTTAGTGTTCATGTAAAAGAAATCTAATACATGTAGTGCATATAATAGTAATATGAAGATTTTGACTGAGGAGGTAAATTGATATGAGTGACATAATTTTAGAAGGGAGTGTGCTAATTGTTTTGTAGCAAGGCCCACTCATCATCTCAAAATTATATTTCAAATTAATTTTTGATGCATGTACATGTTCTTATGATAATTATTTATCAAGTTTGAGCTAATTCCAATCGAATTGCATTTTTATGAATCTTGAAATTGTTCGAAAATTTCATCAGGATGACTAAGAGAGTGCTATTACATTTTCTGATGCATATACATTTACTTGCTGAGTAGAAATTTTTATCTAATGAATTATTTTGCCTCAAGGTGTACATACGTACATGTGTACATGTACATGTACATTTTTACTTGTACTCCAGCAGTGGCATAGAGGGGAAAACTTAAGTTATTATTTCTTTTTAGTATTGATGACAGATACAAAAACCTGAGGATTTGCATTGGAGACGAATTATTTAACAGATTGGCGAGCCTGAAATTATTCATGGTAACGATATAAATTAATTTTTCTATTTGTTTGTTTACAGGTTGGTTGTGGTGCTATTGGTTGTGAGATGTTAAAAGGCTACGCTTTGCTAGGAGTGGGTCAGAGTGAGAGAGGAGGTCACATTATCATCACTGATAATGACATCATTGAGAAATCAAACCTTAACAGACAGTTCCTTTTCAGATCACATCATATACAAGTAATGGAGAGAGAGAGAGAGGGAGGGAGGGAGGGAGGGAGGGAGGGAGGGAGGGAGGGAGAGAGAGAGAGAGAAAAGGTTAATTTTATTTTTTGATATTTGATAGCAACACAAGTCAGTGGTAGCAGCTGCTTCAGTGAGGGATATCAATCCAGGTATAAAACCACTCATTAATTTGATTAATGTATTATTATTAATCATTTTAGATTTATCAATTGAACCACAGCGTTACAAAGGTTATTTATACATGATAGTTTTTGTGTTTGATTTTTATGATAGTGTTTCCTGGTACTGAAGAAAAGGTCTACAATGACAAATTT